CTGAGACCTTTTTTTTGTTTCAAAACCCATGGAAGGAGACGATTATCTTCAAAGATTTTCCTCCCCCCAACCATCCCTTCTCTCTCAGATTTAACCCCAAAAACAAGGTAGAGGTTAAAGACCTCTATGGAAGGGAAGGAACTACAAGGGAAAGATGATTACAAAGAAATAGAGGGGTAGGACAACCCACAAGGTAGTAGGTACCCCCCCTCTTCACTCTACTGCCTGAAAAGAAGGGGTCTCTCCCTAAACTTAATCTATAAAGGTAGGTACCATCATGGAAAGAAAAGAACAATAAAAGAAAGCACAAATAATTGAAAGTTTCAAAGAAATAAGGTAACTAAGTCTTAAATGGAAGATGATAATTAAAAGATTAATTGAAAATACGTACCACACTAAAAAGACGAAAATTTCCGCTGCGCCCGAAAAAGGAAAGAAGAAATATTTTGGGTGTTACAATCTACTATACAGAGCCTCTGTACCTTGAACTATTTCTTGTGCATATTTTATCATTTGTTGATCAAAGCATATTTTAAGGAATAAGAAGGAGGAAAGCAGAACGCATAATCAAGGGGGAGCTGGAAATTCAAGACCTAGAGCCTCTGCATCATCAAGTTAAGTCGCGGTGGTTATAATCTGTGTAGTCCAACCATGAGCCTTTGGATCACTCGACAGGTATGTTATCTATCTCTATCTCAAATGTTTTTTCGTGCCAATAAAACCTATCTGGTATCAAAACATTTTTGAATTAACAATTTTAACTCTATTTCAAGGACCAGAGCCTATGTATATCACATATAGAGCCTCTACATGTACTATACAAAGCCTCTGTACCTAGGATTTAGTAATTCTGTATCATTCTAAACTAGAGTGTAGGATTTTTAAAAGGCGATAGTAGGTGTTTTGTTTGATCAAGACGACTTCATCTCCCTATCTAGAGTACTTGTCTGTACAAGTTACCCTCTGGTTGACAAACACTTAGGTATTTTTCTCAAAATAAAATTGGAATGTCGATTATTTTTGGAAGGTGACAGTTTTGTGATGTTAAATTTTCAAATATGGGAAGCGCGGTTGGCGTCTTAAAGCCTGCAAATGTCAGGCCACGTGTCAAATCCCCACAGGATCTACCAAAAACCCTTTTAATAACCGCCGTTTGGGTTATTTTTGCACTCGAGTGTAGAAATCCTTTCCTATTTGAAGGATTAAAAACCCCCCATTCCATCTTTACGCTTTCAAAATTCTCCAAAGAACTTGCGCTTTTAAGAACTTTTGCTCTCAAGAACTCAATAACAGCAAGAACATTGTTTTCCCCAGCAAGAACCTGCAACTCCATTCTAAACTTTTCTTCTACTCCTATTTTCTTTTTGAACAACGTTGACTTTTACCTATTCTGAATCGAAAAACTTCCACAACAAGACATCTACCCTAAAATCAAATGAAGGAACAAATCTGCATGTTATCCCATTTCCCCTTAAACCAAATAATCACACAATTAACGTAACCCTGTCCAACTACGATGCGAAATTTTTTCATGTTGTTGACATTCTCCATCATCACTTTTTGAACACTACCCTAACCAACGCTGACAAAGAGGTTCCTGAACGATTCCTCCAAGAATTCTGGAAAACATGTGAATTCATGGAAAAAGAAGGGGAATCGTTGGCGAATTCTATGTACCAGAACTGAAACAATACTGCCAGAGTCGCGTTTCTAGGTCACTCTTCTCATTGGTTCTTCAAATACCAACTAAAACTGACTTAGGACTTCCCCAATACACTCATCTACCAAGGGGTGATGAAATCATTGGATTTCTAAGCTTAATTGGTTACAACAAACATATCAACTTCTCTTCGCAGTTCAGAAGTCAATTTATGCCACCAATGTGGAATGTGTTGTTCACATTGGTCAATAGGGCTCTCACGAGAAAGATTGGAAGCATGGAAATGTGCAACACCAACATGCTCTATGGCATCTACTTTGATCTACCCCTAGACTACTCGTTCATCCTCTACATGAAATTTAGGGTAGCCGTTGCCAAAAAGAACCTTGAAAAATCTAAGGGAAAGACCCTGCCAGTGCTGTTGTTCTCAAGTTTTCTAATACTGCTTCTTAGGCTGGGACTCAATGAGCATGAGTACCCATGCGATATGGGTCGTATGGCGCCTGTGAACGTGTTGTTTACGTACCGCCGAACAACACACAAGGACGGGTACCCAGACGAGAGACCCGTGTCCAAAAAGCTGATGGCCTACATCAAGACCAAGAGTGTAAGGAGAGCATATAGACGTGTGCTCGAGTCACTTGAACTGTGACTCGGACCCCCACACGCATAGGCGAAGTCACAAAAGAAGTTGAGCAAGAGGTTGATGGTGAGGAGGCAGAAACGGAAAGAAAATTAAGGAAAGACATAGAGAAGGTGGAGAAGGAGAAGAGTGAGAGACATAGGGGGAAGGTAGAAAAGAAGAGAAAAAGAAGGAGGAGAAGAAAGTAAGAATAGAGAGGGAAAGAGAAGAAAGAGAAGCGAGAAGATAGAGAGTTGAAGGAGAAAATTGAGAGAGAGCAGAGGGAGTTGGCTCTACATCAAGAGCCAGAGGAAGATAGTGAGGAAGAAGAAGAAATTGAGCTGGGTTCAGAACGTTGTGAGACAGTTGGGTCCATATCCAGTGTGGGCGTTAGAGGATTGAGAGGACCTTTTTTTAGTGCGAGAGGACCGGGAAGAACGCACCTTTTGTGTACCAGTTATCATGCCCATGATAAATGCTAGGTAGCCAAGTGTAGAGCGGATAACTACTGAAAGCATCTAAGTAGTAATTTGATTTGGCCTCTCTTAAGCTTCTCTCCCTTTTTTAGCCGTCCACTATTCAACTTGAGGGCCACCATTCTATTGCCCAAATCGAGTTGCAACAGTCTAACCCTTCTAAGTGCTCAACACGTTCGGTCCTCCACGATATACATACATACACACACACACACACACACACACATATATATATATATATATATATATATATATAGAGAGAGAGAGAGAGAGAAAGAGAGATAGATAGGGGGGAGGTTCAAAGAAAAACCACAAGAAAATGAAAAACTGAGGAATACCCTGGTAACCGTTCATATGAATGTTATGCACATATGTATACTGGTAACTTTAAGCAATTTGTCTGGTATGCACAAATGCATAAAAACCAAAAAACAACTTCAATTACCAGTATGCACATGTGCATATCGTCCAGATGAACGGTTACCAGAGTGTTATTTTTTTTTTTTTTATGGTTTTTCTCTGAACGTCCCCCTATACACACACACACAAACGTGTGTGTAACCGGTCTTATAACCGATTAAAGATTTGGACTTAAAAAACTACAAAGAAAATCTATAAATTTCTACAATTTTATATGTCGGACAAAATACAAACTTTCCCTTAAAAAATGCATTACTATGCAAGATTTCAAAGCCGCAAAAGATCGACGAGTTCCACTTTCATGAACAAGGTTTGAAGTTTTAATATTGTTGTCTTGTTTCGAGTTATAATACATTATGTTTTTGTACACTTATTTTTTTGCTCTTTTTAAAATAGACAAAATGCATCCAAATGTAACAAAGTTTCTCTTAGTTTCTATTTAGTGTAACAAAATGTTTATTATTTCAATCAATGTAACAAACTTCTATAATTTCCTGTTTTTACCCATTTTTTATGACAACTTGTTTCATAAATAAGTATCCACATAATCCAATTTCAAAAAATCAACAGATTAACGATTAAAATAGTTACAAAATAAAAATACTAAACCTTTGTTATATCAATTAAGGAAAAAAAAATTCTTCATTATATTAAATATAAACAAAATAAAACTCTATTACATTTTTGGTGCAATTTCTATTAAAGTACATTTATGTGATGCCTTAATATAAAAAGGTCGTTAAAAGGTTGTGTCCCCACCCCCCTAATTTAGAGGGAGAAGGTAGATAAATAATTTGATTTAATATCAAAAGTGGTTATCATGATACAGTGCAAAACGAAATATAATAGTTTGGTAATTGTGTACAATAAAATTAGGGTTCTTAATGGTTAAGGGAGATTCATGATACAAAATTATTCAGAGGATTTTAAAATCATTAAAAGACAAACATTTTTTTTGCCAAACAAGATTAACCTCTTAACGATTCAAAGGTTATCTCTTAATAAAACTATTAAGAGGTAAACAAACAACCCCTAAGACAAGATTCTCCTTTCAAATAATTTGGGCAAATGACAAAGTAACCTAAACCAAACCCAACATATCAAATATGCTTATCATCCAGATATAAGATATAAAAGATAAAAAATTCATCTTTAATAATAAAAAAAACTGTTTTCATGAAAACTCCTGATTATACTAACTATGCAACTCATTAATGGAGAGAGTATTGGTGTTAGGATGCACACATACATTTTCTCCTTACTAAAAGGTAAATAATTGGTTATAAATAATTTTAGTTAAACACATAATTCAAAAATGATAATCTTGGGGGAAAGCTTAATTGAAAATTAAAGATTAATTTTACTAAACGCTTATCGGGTAAGAGTTTATTGATATTACTTGTCTTACTGATTAAACATGAAAATGACTGAGAATCTTACCTTGTAAGAGACATGACAAGAATCAAGAATGTTACTCGGTAAGTCAGAGAAAAGACTTTTAATTGTTAAGTGAAGGAAAAGACTCTTACCCGATAAACAAAGTTTAAGACACTCGCTAACAATCTATTTTGATGATCGAGAATATTATACGATACATAAACTGACCCTAATTTCCACGATTAAAAAAATATACCAGAAAAATTAAATGTTATTCTTATTAATTTAAATCATAAATGAAAAGTATTAAAGTTTAGGAATATCCTTAAAAAGGGGTACAGTAATAATACCAAGAACAGTCATATTACTAAATACCAAGTAAAATCCAAAATCAAAGATGGAGTGGAGGTACCAAAAGCTGCCAATAATCTACATTGTTTTGCATGGAAGCTCACAATTGTTCTTTGTCAAAATTGTAGATGTACGCTATAAGTAACCGACCCTGTTGCGTTGCCCCAATTTGACTCCGTCCTTCCGATCCAAACACACACGCACATAAAATCTCCGATCCGTGCGCCTACCCCTCTGCCCTTTCTCTCTCATCTCTTCAATCCATCTTTCTCTTGTTTCTTTTTCAGTAAAAATCCATACGGGATTATTGGCATTGAGAAGGAGGTGGCGAGAGACGCATTGTAAACGAATCGGAATCTTTTTGCTGCTGAAAACAGGTTTTGATTCATCCGGAAAAGGGGCTTCTAAAAAGCAAGTTTTTTGTGTGTGGGCTTTTGTTTCTGTTCGATTCCCGAAAAGGGTATAATAGCATAGAGAGAGAGGGAGATGATAAAAGGGTATTGTTAGGAAAGAAACTGTGTAGGTATATGTATTGATAGTGAAATGTCTGAATTGGTGGCCCGCACTGGTCGTCATCAGCAACGTTATGAGGCCGGTTGCCGCCTCATCGCCGGGTATACTATTCTCATCTTTCTGTTTGAATTTATAATTTCCCATTTCTCTCAGTTGGATTTATTCCAATTTTAAATCCAATTGGATATAAATCTTATAATTCGAATTCTTTTCCGAATATTCCCATGAACGATTTCAATCTTCAAGCTTTTTATATGTTGGGTATAAAAACCCACATTTTATTTCCCAATTTTGGGTTGTTGATAAATAGGTTATTCTTGATTTCTTCGCGTTGTTGGGTAATCCATTCATCTGTAAGTAGCTGTGTGTAAATGAGGACTCATGTTGAAGAAATTTCTGTTAAATTGCTTAAATCTTGTATTTGTTGTTCATTCAATGCTTTCTGTTTTACCAATATATTCTAGTGAGGAAGAAGGGAAGTGAAAAGGGACTGTGGCTGCTTGTACAAATGGCCTTCTAAATAACTTGCCCAGTTTCCTCTTCTTCCATAAGTTTAGTGTGGGTGATATTTGTTAATGGTATAATGCTGGAGATGCTGATATTTATATACATGAAGGAATATATATATAGCATTCATAGTTATGATATTCTGTCGAATGCAAAAGCTATAGATGATGATTCAGGTAGGGTTATAAATGAATTTTCATATTTGGTACTTCTGTTCATTCAATAAGAGAAGAAACTGTTCATATAAAGTATGAAATGATTGGGGTTCTCAATAAACCAAGGCACTGTTGTTTACTTTTGTTACCACGGTTCTTTTAGTATAGGGCAACCCAAATGCAATGATGTCTCTTGAATTTGCTAGGAATGGGGAAAGAAGTCTTTGTACATAGTTTTCCATTGCAATTTGCAAAGAGGTAGTTGGCTTGACTGTAGGTTAGTTAATTTACTAAGTAAGAAAATTGTTCATATATGTAATGAGTAAGTTGGGTTGTCCACAAGCCTCATGATCCAATGTCAAAATGGTCAATTTTGTTTGTAACATACATTTATGACATGTTTTAAATATTGTACTTCTTTCCCATTTCAGGTATCTTCCTACCTATTTTGGGATGCTCTTATCTAGTATTCTATGAGCTTTATTTTACTAAAACGCTTCTTCCAATTCTAGTATCATTTGATTCTTTGCAAAATCTTCATATCTTGTTACAACATGTGCAAAGAGTAAAGAAGTGAATAGTTAACTCTAATGAACTTCTTGGCTAATTCTAACTATTTGTCCATATTCAAATTGGAGAACTAAATGGGAATAGAGCAAGTATTAAGCAGGTGGAGTTTTTATTTATTCCTGGTAAATGGTTGTGTTGCCATTGTTAAATGAACCAAAGAACATTTTTAGGATTTTGTTTTCATCTAATATTGAAATTAAAGGTCATACTTGAGTCAGAATCCGTAAACACACACTTCATAGATCATCATCAACAATAATTAAAATCATCGAAATGTTAAAGTATTTAATAACAAGAAGAGCCTTGTTGCCCCTTACTAATTGGGTTAATGAAGCATGAAGCCCAAAAGGAATAATAAACAGCCAAATCCACCCTTAAGGCTCTAGGACATGAATAACATTCTTCAACACTTTCTCTAATATATTCCACTCCTTAAATCTCTATTATCTACTTCATGCTATGTCACTCCTATCTGCCAATCATTGTATAACTTTATCAATAATATCTCCATACTCATCACTGCCAATCATAGACAACCTCCAAATTTCCTATATATGCACTATGTTATTAATATGCATATAGTTTTCAGTATATCCATCATATGCTTTTAACGACAGTGATGATCTTGATGCATGAAATGATATCAGAAGATTTTTAGAAATGTGGCATCAGAGTGTCATGGGTCAGCGATGTTGCTACATAAGACTTTGCAGTGCATAAATCAGACATTTTAATGATTAGCTTATCCTAGATTGGCCTTTGTGACACCTTACCTTGACTTGGCATTCTTTCGTCATGTTAATCTAGAAGAGGGAGTACATACTTAGCCATTTAGATTCTCTTGGTTTTGCTTCATAATCTTCAATAGGAATGTTCTACATATTTGGAGCTTCCTCTCAAAGTTTTTTTTATGAGAGGATCCTGACAGTTATGATCATTTTTGGTGTGGGCAGAACAATGCAGAATATCTACTCGTATTTGCAGGGGTTGTGTCAAACTTCATTTTTTGTTGTCTAAATATATGCTATATTTTTCATTCACGATGGTGCTGTAGGAAAGGCAAGTTTCCTTTGTATATTAGTAATTTTCTGTGGGAGTGTTTTACTTGCCAAATTGTGGGCCTAGCATTGTGTTTGCAATCAGAAGTTTTTACTCTGATGAGCCAAGCTTTGTACATTTGGGATGTCTGTCTTGTTGAATCAGTCCCATACGATCTTTTGCAGTATGCCATTTAAGAGTTGAAACCATGAAGTAGACATATCACATATGTTGCATATTGGATATTCGATGTTCCACAATAAGATGCTCATTGGGGCGAAATCTTATCATTTAATATTGTGACATGAAATGTTGGCAGCAAGATTTGGCATTCTTGCGTTATTGTAGATCATGGGTCTATGGTTCTTACAGTATGTAAACTTTTATGGCTTAAGATGCTCTTGGAGAAGAGTGGCAACCATTAATGTACCTTTTATATCAAGGAAGCTATAAAGTTGGAAACTGAAGCTTGGCTTAATTAAACATGTTGAGGTGGACAAATTCTTCATAAGATGATCATGGATGGTGAAACTTCCTTTTTCCATTTATTCTTTGTCTATTTATTTTTCAAATCTGGGAAATAGCATCCCTTGCTTCTGAAAATTAATGCCTTATATCGTTTTGTTGATGACAAATTGGGCATACTAGGCTGTGGTTATTTGTGGGAATGAGATTGTGGTACTGAAATGGTCTTACAGTATTGTGTGACACCCTATTCATTCATGTCTCATCCACCTGTCTCTGTAGTTCGTCTACAAAACCCAGTTTCCAAATTAACTCTTGCTTCTTCCTCTGTCGTCCCATGTGCAGAAAGTTTCTGTACAAATTTCCAAACCACTCCTATAACTTGGCAAGCAGATGGGATTTAAAATATTAGAATAGTATCTCAACTGTCCAAGCCTCAAAGACCTGATTTATGTGCTCCCTTTGAGAATGAATAATAAAACCTTAACTGCCTTTGCTACCAATCTGTCTTGCTGATACCTGTTAGTTCCTTGTCGAAAGTTTGTCTTGTGATTTTATTATTGGCGCTCTGCTTTGGAAAGTGGAACAGTAAATAGTGGTTTTGGGGATTTGCAAACTGTTAGTTAATTTAGGGAACATTATTTTGATCCTCAAATTTGTATAAGTACAAAAACTAAAAGGATTGATTCTGATACCTGGTTTATCATTGGGGTCGTTCTATTTTGCAAATGATAATCCATCCAACTGCTATTTGTCTCATGTAAACCCATAGTTTCATGTGTAGGGCATGAAGATAAGAGCATTGTTTATATTAAAATCAATAGTTTAATGAACTTATTTGCAGTTAACAATGCAAACGAATATACATTTTTAGAAGTTGTAAAGTTGAATCTCTTGAAAATTTATCCACTACTGTTTGTGGATCTCTCTTGTTACTTTTTTTTTGTTGTGAAACTTCTATGAGAACCTTATTGTTCTAATTTCTACACCTGTGCTCAATTTGTTAAGAAAAGTTCACTAGTGATCTTCGCACGGTCTATGCTTGACTGCTCTCATTGCCAGGTGCATTCCCTTCAGGTTTCGGTACTCTGAAGGCAGTAATGGTAACAAATCTGAGAAGATTGTGGAGGTACTAATGATCAACTCTACAAGTGGACCTGGTCTTTTGTTCCCAAAGGTACAACTGCTTCATGTTGTATTTGGAAATATATCTTTCTGTCCTAGAACAGTAGCTTGCCTCTAGATTTTATTACACTTGCTTCTTCTCTTCCTTATTGCAGTTGTGTTGTTTCTTTTTACAACAAGCAGTTGGGAGCTGAATTTCACACTTAATATATGATTGTATATAATTGTTTGCGTTGCATGATTTGCTGCTTGTGTCTGGATCTGAATACTTGGAGTCAATCTTCTTTCTTTTGCTTTGAGTTCTTTGGTATATCTTATGATGGTTTTCACCTTCTGGATCTTGTTAGAGTTACAAGTAGTGCAATTGAGTATATGCAAAAGCTCAAAGAGTAATACGTACATTCTTATCCTTGATGCAAAGGTTCTGTAAACAGTTCCTGAAAGTGACATAAGCAGATGATTGGAATGTTATTCAGTTGATCTCTGAAGTGTGTGTTTTGGTGAGGAGACCATTAGCATCATGGTCTACCATGAGAAATCCTTGCCTTTTAAGTCGGTGATGACTGAGATCCCAAGTATCTGCAGGGTACAATGCCAAAAAATACCTGTACCTAAGGCCTAAAGTTGGAGGCACTACCCTTCAACTGCACATATGTCTCCAGTTTGTGGATATTGAGAACTCAAAAGCTTATGACACTTGAAGATTTTTATAAATAATACGCAAGGTGAAAGCTTAATTATACTTGTGCATGCAAAAGGTTAAATCTTATATAGTTTGTATAATGGCAATACTAGCATGAGTGACTGACTTGCTTAGAAAAACACTTGTATTCTCCTGGTTTTGCCATATCTTCTTTGCTGTCATAGATTTGTAGGAGGCGTGATAGTAGTAGTAGCTTTTGTCTGGGAGGTGAATGGTTTCAAGGCGTAAGATTAAGGACTGGAACCTACAAATAATCAGTATTTTTGTGGGGTTGTTAATGTTTGATGGGAGAAGGATAAAAAAGGTGAATCTTTGGTCTCCTGCATTGTAATCTATGTTGGATGACCACAAAACGATTTTTCTGCCAAGCTATTCAGATCTGAAAAGCTCCACGAGAAGTTGATTGTTATGTTGAATTTCCTGAGATTAGATTATAGATATCTGAACAGATGAGATTTTTATCTGTCTTGTTAGTAAGGATGAAACATGTGGCAGAATGCAATACGTAAAAGTGATGAAACATGAGTCTTTTACTTCAAGTTTGACTATTTATACCCCATTACGTGTTATTAAGCTGCCAATTGTGCAAAAGTAGGTGGAGTGGGTGTAGGAAGAGTTTGTTTGTATATATTATGGTGCTACCGAATACTTTCTGGAGCATTTAGGCACTGGATGGTAACATAGCTGGAGAAGTATGCTTCCACCAGACAAATGCTGCACTTGTTGTCTATCTGCATGGGAATTCATGCAAGATGTATAAAGCACTAAATGTAAGCTGCTTCAGTTTACAACTAGAAAGTAAAGGATGTGAGCTTCTGCCTTGGGTGCAAAGGGTCTTTCATGATTTCCATACCTCATCATGTCCATTTGTGCAGGTAAAGATGGAATGTAGAGCATATGCAGGAGAATATGGCTAGAGGTGAATTGCCTATGCGTGTCTAGGACAAAGTTTTTGTACATAATATATAGACGTGTCAACTACCTTGTGTTTTGTGTCTGATGGAAGGCCTTAAGCTGGGTTATATGTTCTATGGTCGTCAAATGTACCAACCTGTGGGATGGTGATTGCTGTCATCCTCAATCTTTGTAGTAGAAATTACAATCCTGCAGAAGTACCATCTGAGTTGAGTTATGTAAAATATTCTTGTACTCGTAAGATACTTTCTGGTTCTCATCGATGCATTGCCCAATTTTCAACATTTTTGGACGTTTGCTATTTGCCATTCTTATCTGCATCTCTTGTGGGTATATAGTTTAATCACCCTTGTTTTCCCATGAATCTTAATTACAATTTACAAATGCTCTGCCTTTCTCTCATTCTTAGATTTATGGTGTGTGAAGTTTAACCTTTACCTGGGTATTTGAATCATAGCTAGGATGTTTTTTCTTATTCTTTCTTACTCTTCACTTTTTCTAATCTTTTCCTTGTCAAAGTTTAGCTTTTTCATTTTTTATATACACAATTTTCTTTTCTTTCAACACTGGAATGTTTGCATCAGTGTTTATATCATTTTAGTAATGTGCAACAAAAATAGACAATTCAATATATCAGTAATCCTCTAAAGCAAAAAATCAGAAAATAAGGATGCTTATGATTGAAACTGAAGGGGGAACCCATTGACAAGAGAGTTGGGGGGAGGGGGTTGGGATGTGAATCTATGTAGAGGAATAAGACTGTAGAACTGATTTTAAGCTCTACTACCATCACATACATAAGAAAGCAGAAGCAGAAGCAGAGATGCAGTGTTATCCATTATTAAACACCAATTCCAGAAAGCCTACTTAAAAGAATCCGCCTTTTCTCTAGAGATTCAAATTTCTTATGGCCCACTTAGAAAGATCACCATTGAAGGATTCGTTTAGATAATGCAAATTGGTTGGATTAGCTGTGGTTGGGTAGGACCTCATAATCAATTAAAAAATCATTTTAAAATCCTTTAAATGTACATTGTATTCTAATGGTTCAGGTTCTTCGGACATCCAAATGCACCCTTTTGGTAGAGGACCTATGGTCCTCTTTATAGAATTGGCATGAGTATGTCCAATGTATTAAGATATTTCTGGTTTAATCAAAATTATATTTCAAGGTGAGGACATACGTCTTATCTAGCACAAAGTTTGCATTGTGACTTGCTGAGCTTAATCAGATTTGGATTCTCGGAGTTCCTTGACAAGTGGTTTGGCATGTCCAGGGACATGAAATTAGTTAAATCATTCTTATGTTTTCTTTTCCTTTTAACACATACAAACATGTATGACTATTATGAGAAGGGAGGAGAAGGCATCTGGATCAGCATAGTTGTAATAAGAGGTTCAATAGTTTGACCATGCCAGGAACTCCGTAATTGTCTTACTGAGAACCGATACACATGAATGCAGACAGTCCATCTCTGACTTGCCATTGTCCTCCGAGCCCATAATCAATGAACCGTAGTGGACTCTGCATCCAAATATGAGATGGAGGAAGGTATGTGACTGCTTGTTAATAAGGGATCATTGCTTGTTTAAATTGATTCTCTACACCTATATGGCTATGGCCTATATCTGTAAATGATGTATGCTGATTGAAGTGAGAGACCTAGGAACATTCTTTCTTCTGCCTCAATTAGGATTTTCTATTTTTCTTCCATATCGTACTCTTTCTTCATTTCCTCTTGTCTGAAATGCATGAAGTATCATATATGTTTCTGGCCTTGTTACTAATGCTATTGCTATACCACATGCTCCGTGAATGTTGATACATATATTATTAATGACCGAATTAGTGGTGTTCAATATTTCATGCTCTATCTGAAAATGTCAGTGCTATATATTACATCCTGTCGTTATTGGTGCTAGTGTCTTTGCTTTTATCATTTTTGTCTGTTAGGGTGGATGGGAAAACGATGAAACTGTTGAGGAGGCAGCTGCACGTGAAGCATTGGAAGAGGCTGGAGTTCGAGGGGAATTAATGGTCAGTTTATGATTGTTTTCTTTCTCCCCTCGTTACATGTTCTTGTTGTATTTTCTGTCATGCATTTCTGCTGTCTATGCTTTCTTATACTGTTCTCTTTATAGAGAAGGGATATGATAAGAGTAAGTTTTTTTGCATTGTTTGTACATACTTGTACGCCCTGCATTTTGCTCTGATGCCATGAATTAGATATTTTTAGATTTTGGCTCAATTTCCATCGACTTTTTGAGCAGTTTCGTCCATCGGAACTTGTGATGAGCATGTAGTTCTGTTAGAACTTAGCTGTAGACATCCTGAAGAAAGTTGCTTTGACAAGAGAGGATAGCAATAGATTTTATGAGAGGTTCCGAATTTGACATGGATTGTGATACAAATTGGGATCATAAGTGAGATTCTCCATGATTGGGGATGAGGTTTAAAGTGGCATCGCATTAAGCTTGTTAATGAGTTGGTTAGAACGTTCAGTGGTGTAGCAGCTATTTAACAGATACTTGGGTAAGATCCCAATGTTCTTTATTATTTCATAAAAAGGCCAACTTTACAAAGGGAACGTAGTTTCCCGGGAACCAAGAGGTCCCCGGTAATCGGCCGCCTCGGCCCGTTAACCTTCGTCAAAGAAATCAGAAAGCACATAAGTGTAGGGGATGAACATAGAAGTGGACTTCTCTGTGAGAGTGATTTTTAATTTTGCTTATTTCTGAAGATAAGGACCTTTCAGAATTGGAACTTTCATCGAGTGAGAAATATACAGTTACCATTCAAATTTAGACTTCATGAACTTCTATTTGTGGGAAGAAGGCACCTGAACTTGGGAAACATCTTATATTTTGGTTAATTGTACCAAAATAAGCTTCTTCAAGGTTTTAAAAGGCTGAATCGGGCCTCAAGGCGTAAGCCTCTAGCGGTCCAAGGTGTAAGCCCCGAGGCAGAAGTATATATACGCCAAATTATGTATATATACTACACAAATATATAATATAATAATATATATATATATATAATACTAAATTACTAAAGGAGCTGGTTCAATGGTTCTTGACAAAGGAAAGAGTGAAACTGTGAGATAGGCTGAGAGGGTATGGAAAAATTGGTTGCTTGGAGGAATAGAAAGGATCAAGCCACACCTATGGTTGAGAGGAGAAAGTACTAGCTTTTTGGGTTTTAAAATATTAAAAGTACACATTGGGGCAATTGGGCTTTGACTTCTGGTTTTTTAAAATAAAAAGACACTTATACTATAAAGAGAAGTACTACTACTGCCATAAAGCTTATAAAAAAAGCCAAAAAACCCATTACCAACTGAGGTGTATGCCTCGACACCGCCTCAATGAACCACCTTACCTACCAAGGGATAAACCTCATTCAGGGTCCAAGAGGCGCCTCCTCAAGTGTGGTTTTGGGCCGCTTTGAAGCTTACGCCTCAAACGATTTTTAAAACCATGAGCTTCTTATCTCCAAACTAAAATAAGATACAATCTTGTTTTTTTTGAGATAGTAATTAAGTACAAGGATTCAAAACCATTAAGTGGAAGCATAATCATAATGTATTTTACAATGGAGCATCGTTAACAGGTAAATCGATAGAACCATTTGATAGCTCAATTTGGAGAGAATATTTCATTCATTTATGATAGTAAGTGGGTAGGTGAAAATTATAAGGTGGTTATGGGGAAAAGATAGGACCAGGCAATGATGGTGTTATAACAAAATAAGAGGCTAACAAAATCGAGATCAAGACCAATAGAAAATATCTATTGGTCATACTAGTAGTTGGGATGTGGTTATGATCGTTCTTTGTGCATACATGTGTCGCATAGGCTTGAATATAGGACCTAGAAGTTGATTGTGAGGAGCGGAGATCTTACTGGTGATGATGGTAGAGATAATGGATGCTGGGAAAGAATTCATAGAGGTTAGGGATGGTAATAAAAAAAGTGATGTTTAGCTTATTACTCGAGGTTGTAAATACGTCTTCTCTAGTAGTTGGAAGGGGTTGAAACTCGACCCACATGGACTTTGTTCTTACTAACAGGGGATTGATGGAGTTCTGCATTAGAAATGGGGGTAAGGGAGTTAAAACACCTTAAAAAAAATAAAAAATGATAAAAGAAATGGCTTATGATGTTGGAGGGAAGCTAACAAGTCATGAGGGATATGGAAACATGCATCCGAAGGGTAGGAAAAGAAGTTGTCGTAGAAAATAGATGAAGATGCTTATATCTTTGTTTTCCATATCCTTTTTTGTTGGCATCATACTTGACCTCTCTTCATCCTTCTCAGCAAGACCAAATGTGATCTCAATCAATCTTTTTATCAAATCATCGGTGGTGTTATCACCACTAATGTTTCATCTTAGCCATTGATGTAGTTTAATATCGATCTTCGCTTTGGTGGTTGAGCAAGAGCAACTATATACAAGGGTAGCATAGTCATTTGTAGACCATCAAGCCTTATGTACAACAAAAGTTCCTCCATAAAAGTCTTGTGTTCTTGTTCCCCTTCTCGGTGTGTAAATGTTTTGAAGCCGATATAGGAAAAGTACTCATGGGGGAGGCCGAGTTCTTTCAGCGATGAAATTTAAAGAAATGATATGAAAACAAAGGAAGCTAGCTTTTTGAAAAGACCATGTTCGGTTCATCTTAATCTAGCTTATAAGCTAGCTTTTCGAGACACTGCCTCAAGTAGCGTATCAATAAGCTTGAGGGGTTTTTTTTCATTTTCTTTTTCCAATTATACCCTTTATATTTTTCCTGTTAATTTTTAACATGTTCTTTTAGGTCATTTACATTGTCATCTAGCTTATCAGCTAGTTTTTACTAAACATGTTCAACAACTAGCTTTTCAGCTAACAGAAACATAGCCTTAGAAGAAAGGTGCATAAGAGGCAATGTTATACTACAAATGGGAAAGAAATGTACTGAAGGGAGTTTGTGTATACACGTATATGGTGTATTAGTTTTTAAAGGGAAAGTTGTAAATATTTTGAGAACCAAATATCACGATGAATATTATTTAGAGTAAACTACACTTTTTGTCCCTGTGGTTTGCTAAAAATTGCAATTTTTTGCCCGTGTTTTTGAAAACACCCCCTCAGTGGTTTACCCTTAAGTATGACACACGAAAAGAGCAATAAATCGTAAAAAATAGGGGACTAAAACTACTATGAATTGTAAACTACATGGATAAATATTCATGAATGAAAATGCACGATAAGTAAACTATGTTTTTCATCACCATGCTTTCGAAATTACGGTCATCATGAACGGTAGATATTCACCATGAATAGTAAGGTTCTTTACTGCCCTCAAAATGTATTCTGTTCTCAAATGAACATGAACCTGCCCCTATTCGTTTATCTCCTAGTTTATCTTTATTCTAATGTACTAATTTCGTATTATAGCATTTCTTGGGACACTATCATTTCAAAAGTAAAACGCTACAAGACGAGTTTAGCCCTGAAGGAAGGTGTCGAGCAGCCATGTTTGCTTTGTTTGTGAAGGAGGAGCTGGAGTCTTGGCCGGAACAAAGCCGCCGGCTGAGAAGTTGGGTGACCATACCAGAGGCCGTCGAATGTTGCCGGCACGCGTGGATGCGAGAGGCTCTGGAGAATGGGTTCAACCAATGGAGTGCTGATGGGATGATTAGAACCATGAAGGCTGTTTCCATGGATGATGCTTCTGATGGTAACTAGGTGCACTCTTTACTGCACCTTAAAAACAAAACATGATTTTGGTGCCTTTTTTTTCTTCATCTTCTTTATTCTTGCATTTTCTTGTTTTAGGTGTCAAGAAGGTACAAGGAGTTTGTACTCATTCTGACTTATCTTTCTTTCAACCAAAACATTTAACTGTGTTGGGTTCGTTTTTTACGAGTAAGGAGCTGTTTGGTTGATTTTTCATTAAGTTTTGTACGGATAAAGTTGTCTGTATAGATTAACATGTCTGTATTAGATGGCAGTAGCGTGTTTTTTTTAATTGGGAGTGGTAGGTTTTGATAAAACTTGGCTTTTTTGCATAAAGCTCTCATTACTAAATAAACCATTTTCTATATCATTAAGTTATTACGAAATAGTCGTGTATAGTTGACCGAATAAGATGTGAATCTTACTAAGCTCGTTAAGCAGCTTAAAAACAGACCATAAGGGTCATCACCTTCAGTTACCTTACTGAGTAAGAATCTCTATAATTTAAATAACATAGTTTAAACGTTTCTTACTTGGTAAGTGTTAACCAGATAATAGTCACCATCTTCACATACCAAGTAAGATTCACATACCAACTAGATATTGTTTTCAACTCCTTTGAAAAAGAGAAAGAACGTATGAATTATAGCGAGTGAAACCATTAGGCGATTACCAAGCCACATCGTTGTCTCACATTGTCTCTTATATATATATGTATATATATAGAGTTTGTTTCAAATACAACATGTTGCATTTGTACAATCAATGTAGTCCAATCAGGAAGACCAATTGCTTTGCAGATAGCCCGAAGTCATCGCATTTAAACCTCCGTGGCCACAAGGGGATTTTTATTCCTTCTTGGATTTGAATCTGGGACCTACTATTACTTTTGACCTTTGAAGCCAAGCTCAAACCAATCAGGCACCACCCTTGTGGTTTACTTTCATAAATAATATTGTACTTCCAGTTTTTCTTATTACAACAATGTACTTTCAAACTATTTTTATTTAAACATTGTACTTTAAAAAATTTACCCATTATAACATTGGGTAACATTTTGATTTAAATTTACCCATTATACCAGGTTCTCATGCCACCTCATTGTCCATGTAGGCTGTCCATATGTACTATAGTGATGTGACTTTTTTATTACAACATTATTCTTATTAAATAATGTACTTTTAATTTTAATATTTAGACATTTTATATGTTATTTAATAAATATATTAAATGAATTAAAAAAATTCTAAATTATTCATTAATATACCAATATTAATAAAACTAGTAGAAGACAACTTATCTCGCTAATATTTTCAAAGAAATATGTGTTTTTTGAAAAAAGAATATAAGAATTGTTTTTTTTTACCAAAAAAATATTATCTTTTAAAGAATATATTATATTTGTTCAAAAACTTTTACTTGACGTATAAATATATTAAACTAATTAGATTTTTTGAATTATTTATTAATATAACAATATTAAAAAATTATAGAACACAATTCATTTTGTTAACATTTTACAGAGAACTTTAAAAGATATGTATTTTTTTGAACAACATAAACATAAGAAGTGTTACCTTTTTTACAAACAAAATATATCTCGAAAATAATGTAGCATATTTATTTAAGAAATATTTTACTCTAGAATATTTAATTTGCATGCAACTTACTATAAAAAAAGTCAATTTTTTTTTAAATCATAACAATGAAAATCATTAATAATAATTTGAAAAGATGTTTTTATATTTATTTTAATTAAGTCATCAAAATGATGTGTCATTCACATCACCTCATTAACTCCACACAAGCAAAAAAATCAAAGGGTTAACCGGTTTAAAAGGTAACAGGTTACCCATTGCTATAATGGGTAGATTTTTTAAAGTGCGATGCCTTAATAAAAAATAATTTGAAAATACATTGCTGTAATAAAGAAAAACAAAAGTAGAATGTTATAATAAGAACATTTATGAAAGTAGGTTGCTATTTCATGCATTTAACCTTATTTTCTAATTCCATAAATAGAAAATTCACGATTTTAAGGTTGAAAAAACTCTTTTAAATATATATGATTTTTTAATTAAAAATATGGATTACGTGAACAACATAACTATGCCTATATTTTATGCAAACAAATACAAGATTGTGTAGATAACCATTTAAATAAGAAAAACCCTTTGAAAATATATGAAATTTATCGTAATGAATAAAATAACGCGTTTATTTTAGAACCATTAAAAAACTTGACATTTATAATGGAAGAAAAAGAAGAATTTAGTATGAATAAATAAAATTTCAAGTGGATAATTGAGGTTTTGAACTATATCAAGTTTTATTTTTGAAGTTTGACGGGGGAGCCAATGTCATTTCTAGTAGGGGTGAGTATCGGAACCGGGTACATGCTTTTGGAGCAGAAACCGAACCAAAAGTGCCGGTTCCGAAACTGCTCCGAAGCTACCAGTTCCATAACCTAAACCGATGTGATTGGTTCCAGTTCCTAAAATACGGAACTGGTTCCAATTTTCATTTTTAGTGGAACCATTGACCGCTAGGTACCCGTCGAGACCGGTTCTAAGAATGGGTACCTGGTCCTGCTGGGTATCCAAAACCGGAACCGACTGATACCGGGTATTTGATACCAGAACCGTTTCCAAGCGGTTTCGAGACCGGTTGCCAAATACATAGAACCATTGTAACCGGTTCCAATTCCTTCAATCCAGGAACTAACGATTCCTGTTCCAGTTTCAGTTCCTGGACCAGTTCCATTAATTTTGGTGAGGTACCTGCTTTTGCTTACCCCTAACTTCTGCCTCCAAGGTGGCTCCACCCATGGCTTCATATACTTGTATGCTAATTTTTTAAAATAAAAAACCAAAATGTCTAAAATACCCCTCAACTAATGAAGTTAATGTTAGAAACTATTTTCAAAATAAATGCATATCTAGCAAAGACATATTACTTTCATAGTGTAATATATATATATATATATATATATATATATATATATATATATATATATATATATATATGATTTTTAGTGTAAAATCTCATGTGATTCGGTTATTTTGTTATTTAGGTACCATTTTCGTATGAACCCGACCCTATATATATGAGGAAACCATATATTCATATATGCATCGATGCATATACACTATCAAAATATGTATTATGTCGATGAATATTTTTTTTTATCAATGCATATCTACACTATCGAAAAGGTTGACATGTGGTGAACAATGAACTTTTATGAAAAGATTAAGGAAAAAGAGGAAGGTGGATATTATTTTTTAGAGCAAAATGTACAAAATAACAATCTACTTCATAATTTTTTTTTGATTAACCTGGATATCCAACCCGCAATGCGAGCCGACTAATCTCAGGAAGACCACCTGCTTTGCAGATAGCCCGGAGTCACCGCATTTGAACCTCCGTGGCCACAAGGGGATTTTTATTTCTACTTGGGTTTGAACCTGGGACCTCCTGTTACTTTTGACATTTGAAGCCAAGCTCAAACCAATCAGGCACCACCCTTGTGTTTTACTTTCATAAATTTCTTTATTATAATATTGTACTTCCAGTTTTTCTTATTACAACAATTTACTTTCAAACTATTTTTTATTAAAACATTATACTTTGAAAAATTTACCAATTATAACATTGGGTAACCTTTTGATTTAAATTTACCCATTATACCAGGTTTCCATGCCACCTCATTGTCCACGTAGGCCGTCCACATGTACTATAGTGATGTGACTTTCTTATTACAACATTATTTTTATTAAATAATGTACTTTTAATTTTAATATTTAGACATTTTATATGTTATTTAATAAATATATTAAATGAATTAAAAAAATTCTAAATTATTCATTAATATACCAATATTAATAAAACTATTAGAAAACAACTTATCTCGCTAATATTTTCAAATAAATATGTGTTTTTTTGAAAAAAGAATATAAAAAAATGGTTTTTTTTTACCAAAAAATATTATCTTTTAAAGAATATATTATATTTGTTCAAAAACTTTTTACTTGACGTATAAATATATTAAACTAATTAAATTTTTTGAATTAATTATTAATATAACAATATTAAAAAATTRTAGAACACAATTCATTTTRTTAACATTTTAGAGATAACTTTAAAAGATATGTATTTTTTTGAACAATATAAACAAAAGAAGTGTTACATTTTTTACAAACAAAATATATCTCGAAAATAATGTAGCACATTTACTTAAGAAATATTTTACTTTAGAATATTTAATTTGCATGCAACTTAATAAGAAAAAGTCAAAAAATTTTAATGTTTTTTTTTAAATCATAACAATGAAAATCACTAATAATAATTTGAAATAAGTTTTTTATTTTTATTTTCATTAAGTCATTAAAATGATGTGTCATCCACAGCACCTCATTAAAGCCAAACAAACAAAAAAAGTCAAAGGGTTAACCGATTTAAAAGGTAACAAGTTACCATTGCTATAATCACGTAGATTTTTTAAAGTGCGGTGCCTTAATAAAAAATAATTTGAAAGTACATTGTTGTAATAAAGAAAAACAAAAGTAGAATGCTATAATAAAAAAATTTATGAAAATAAGTTGCTATTTCATGCATTTAACCCTATTTTCTATTTCCATAAATAAAAAATTCACGATTTTAAGGTTGAAAAAAACCTTTTTAAGTATATATGATTTTCTAATTAAAAATTTGAGTGACATAAACAACATAACTATGCCTATATTTTATGCAAACAAATACAAAATTGTGTAGATAACCATTTAAATAAATAAAACCCTTTGAAAATATATGAAACTTATCGTAATGAATAAAATAACGTGTATATTTTAGAACCATTAAAAAAAATTGACATTTATAATGCAAGAAAAAGAAGAATTTAGTATGAATAAATAAAATTTCAAGTGGATAATTGAGGTTTTGAACTATATCAAGTTTTATTTTTGAAGTTTGAGGGGGAGCCAATGCGATTTCTAGTAGGGGTGAGTATCGGAACATGGTACCTGCTTTTGGAACAGGAACCGATCCAAAACTGCCGGTTTGGGAACCGAAACTGCTCCGAAACTGCTAGTTTCATAACCAGAACCGATGTAATTGGTTCCAGTTCCTAAAATACGGAACTGATCGGGACTGGTTCCAGTTTTAATTTTTAGTGGAACCATGGACCGCTGGGTACCCGTCGAGACCGGTTCCAGGAGCAGGTACCTGGTCCTGCTGGGTATCCAAAATCGGAACCGACGGATACCCGCTATTTTTTTAATAAAAATAATTTTAT